TATGTATATATTTTGTCAGGTAAATTCCAAGTTGTCTTCATTGGATTTTTGCAAGTTGAACTACATTTTAAATTTACTCAAGAGAGTTTGTTGTTTGAAGATTGACTTACCCTAAGGGCTGTTATTTTCACTTTAAATAAGTTGCTTGTTTTATACTTGGGCAACTGTTAATGTAGTAAATAATTAGCCTTTAATTTGAGAAATAAAAATATATGGGGTCTGAGTTAACAGCATATTATTCCTAGTGGGTATAGATTCCCCCGGAGTATTTTTATTTTTGCAATATGACCTACATAACAGGCTTTGTTTGTGATGTCTCAACAAGTGCTGAATAGGTTAGCAATTTATAGTTCATAAAATGATACTAATAGCCATCAGTAGAACTCTGTCATTTAGAGCTTTTAGTACTTAACTAAACCCTTACTGATTTTGTGATAAATTGATTTTATTTGTTCTCACATTTTTTTCATTTGGTTATGTAAGTACCACTGACCAAAACCTCAAGGAATTCAATATAGTACTTTGAGACCATATGGCATTTCTAGAATCTCTTCTGTAATCTTTTAATTTTAAATCTTATTTTTCTGTTTATTTTTAGAAGATATCTCCAAAATGTTAATATTAAAATACTGTTTAAGTATAAAAATACAGCTAGCTTTATTTTTCATCCCATCTAATGTTGCTTGTTTATTCTTTCTAAAATCATAATTTCCACATGATTAATATTTTAAAAAATTTAAACTGTAAAGTTAAATAATGCTCTCTTCTTGGGCATAGTTTTTAAGCATTCCCTTTTTTTTTTGCAACCCGAGCATCTGGTATTTTCAAATCAGACACCTTCTAAATTTGATTCATACATTATGGAAATCTGATGACACTAGGGGTGGATAGGCTTGCTTTGATTTTATGAAATATTAATCATGACTGTGATTAATGATTCAGCATTTCACATCTGGGTTATTTCTGTCATATTTGAAAATGATATTACTAAATACAGTATGTAAACTTATTGTAAGAGTATTCATACTAATTCTCTAGTGTCTCTGTGAAACTAAGTGGAAACCAAATGATGTAGGAGAAATTGCCAGGGAAGTTCTTTGATTTTTATACTTTCTGACATATTTTATCCTCTCAAGGTTCTTTTGATGTAGATTAGGACATCTCTTTGGGGACTTGAGGCTATATAATCTATTCTTTAGTGTACTGTGTCCTCTACCCAAGTAAAATCTGAGAAAAACTTTAGTATGTGAAAAGGAAAAATAGCTGTAATATGTTCTATCACTTGTTTATTGATCAGCACCTTAAATACAAAAACCCTATCTTATGGGTTCCAGAATCATACTGGTACTTAATGAATACTGAATTAATTTTGGTGAAATAATCATCTGAATGTATCTAAAATGCATAATATCTTATAATGTAAAAAAAATTAAATGCACACATTATTGTTCTACCGTCCTTATTCTTGGCAAAAAAAAACTAAATGCACACATTATTGTTCTACCATCCTTATTCTTGGCAAATTGACAAATGTCAAATTCACTCACACACACACACACTCGTTCTAAAATACAGCAGTGGAAAGAAAGTTTAAGAACATACTTGTTTTTAGATAGAAATCACATAGGTAAAACATATATTTCAAATAATTCTATCAACAGAGTTCTATTGTGAATTTTCCTATTCTAGTAAAACAAGTGAAACTCTTGCTTTTGCTACTGTAACTACCTGATGTCTGAAGAAAAATATGGTAAAGTTCTAAAATAATGGAGAGTATCTTTCTTCTGTAGTTGGTTTTAGATAGCATCTATATATTATCCGCTATGCGCTAGTAGTACACTGAGCCCAGCACCTGACACATAGTAGGTTAATAAATTTTATTGATTGATGTATATCTTTTTGATTGCTAAATTGTTTCCAGTTTCATAAACTGATATTTAGAAGGCCTTTTGATGGCTCTAACTTCTACAACCCCACAAAGTCTAAAGACTGGATTTTTTAAGATAAAGTAAAAATCCCTCTACCTCCTACCATAAAAGCTGTAGAGAATTAGTTGGGGTCTTCCAGGCTGACAGGATATCCTTAGGCAGACAATCTCTAGCTATAAAGTACTTTTTGCACTTTGCCTACCTCAAAGATGTGGGATTATGTAATTATACATTTTATATTTATCTGGTTCTTTACTTTATCAGAACATTTGAGAATTAATCCCTTTATATTTTTCAGAGGTACATAGAATTTTTTTTGGCCTACTGTTCCAGTTCGATTTGTAAGGTTGAAAGCTTCTTTATATCCTTTGAAAATTAAAAGCGTATTAAACATAAAAAAATAAACTCAGTAAAACCTCAGCTATCTAGCACCTTTAGGGAATTAATGATTCTCGAAAAGTTAGTGTTTCTGATTGGCATATTCTTTATTTTATGGAAATCTTTTTTATGGAAATCATCTTAAATATTCATTCTCTACCTTCTTCAATTATTACACTGTGTTTTACTGCAGCTATAGATGCAGATATAAGGTGGTGATGGTGTGGAACAGTGATGTAGGAGAAAGAGAGACTAGTGGACTAAAGTTCAGTCAAAAGATATACCTGAGAAACCATGAATTAATTACTTAAAATCTCTTAAGATTCAGTTTCTTAAAATGTACAGTGGGAATAGTAATGTTTCTATGTACCTACATCCTGGAGTTGTGATGCTCAAATGAGATAATGTGAGTAATAATTACTTATATTTATAAGATGCTTTAAGTTTTGCAAAATGCTTTTCTCAATAGGATGCTATCAGTCTTCCCATTTTATATGATGAGGATACTAAGACTGTGAGAGGCTAAATGACATACCTGCCCATTGTTACAGAACAAGTATGTTTATGACATTGTTGTCAAGTCTGAATCTTCTGATTATACACTCTTTTCACTGTACCATGCTTTATAGTTATGTTATTGGCATTATACTCTCGTGTGCTCAATGTTCCTCCAAGCTGATCACATTGTTTTCCTGCTTAAAAATCTTTAGTGGTTTCCCGTTGCCCACTGAGTACAATACAAACTTCTAAGCCTGATGTTCAAGGCCCACCACAATCTCACCCTAGACTACCTTTCTTTCCTTTTTTCATACTGTTCTCCTTCCTAAAATCTGTTTCAGCCAAGTGGAATTGAGAACTCCTTCCAGTGATTCTGGAACAGACTTTCCTTATTCATATTGCCCCCATCTGAAATACTTTCCATTCTTCAAAGTCTACCTCAGATGCCACTTCATAAGTTACTTGCCCTTTAAACATCTCCTTCCCAGCTAGAAGAAATCCCTCTCCCTTGGATATCTTATGCCTCTATGTTTGACCTTAATCATAGGCCTATGCAATTAATCATATTTTTAACACATAAAAATAATGATGGTTCCTGCCTTCTCCTTCTAGATTCAATGTTCCTTGTGGGTGGAGACTGGCATTTTCCTATTCTTTGTATCCCTGGTAACTAGCAACCTTCATTACATGTAGTAGGTCATTAGTGAATGTTTATTGAATTTGCCGCTCAGAATAAAGAGATATTATTCTAAATTATATGTTTTTTGTCTCCCCACTGTCATTATCTATACCTTATCATTGCTGTCATTTCTGCCATCACTTCCAATGTTTTTTTCTTCCTTCTTTTTTTTGTTCATTTTCCTGTCTTTTCTGTCTTCTTTGGCTTCTTGTACTTATTGGTAGGCCTTTTACGAAATTAACAATTAGAATACTCTTTTCCTTCTTTACCAGAAATAAGTAAATCAGAGTTTGTAGGGTATAATATTCTGCTCCTAATTCTTTGGGAGATGCAGTGTAGTATAATTGAAAGAGCCCTGGATTCAGTCAGGAGATCTGGGTTCAAATTGTTATCATTATCATAATTATTCATATTTGTTGTAGATGGTTGTTCAAAGATTGGAAATGTGGGGAGTGGAGCTATTTTAAGGTTCAGAGTTGTTTCAAAAGGCTGAATGTTTTACTATATTGTGGAAGTAGATATAGTCCTAATTGGGATTTAATAAATGAACATTTAAGTCTTGATATGTCTTTCAAGGCAAGGACAGATTTTCTGGTTGAGTATTGGAAGGTTAACATTTAAGAATCTCTACAGAAAATTTTGCTAAAGAAATTAAGAACCAATAATGCAACTCTTAAAATTTACCAACATTTTGGTTCAGTGTTTTTCTGCACATGACTGTTTCAGGTAAGCAGAGGAGTAATCCAAGAAAGGCTTATCGTATTACCTTCACGTTGGCAAACCCTACCCTACTTGCATCATAAGTATTTTATAAAAGATGCCCAAAAGTCTTTATTCAGTTTTAAGCTGTTAAGGCTTAAGTAAACTATTGAGACCTAAAACTGCACAAAGACTTTTGAAATACCCTGTATATGTGTTAGATCTCTTACATACAAAGACTTGGTTCCAAAATGTAGGAAAATGGAAAACAAATTTAACAGAATGTGTCTTTTTTTTTAATATAAATTGTGCAAGTCAAAATATACACTCGTAATCAACAGAACTTTGATAAGTTCTCCATTTAAAATTAATTTGGTTTTGTATTTTTTATTTAAGACCCACAACCACCTCTCTTCCAAAGAATATACCTCCTTGGGTAGGTTGTAATGATTTAGGCTGGCACTTGTTCATAAGGATCAGTGGAAAACAAGTATATTTGTTCTGTACAAAAACTTATTGAAATGAAAGTTGGTGAATATTTTTACACAACTTTAAAAATAAGTCAAGGTAAGTGCTGTGTATATATATTAACTAAGTCCTCTTTAATGGTGAAGGCCAGCCTTCTCATTTAAAGCAAGAGTAATGTATTGATACTTTTAAAGAGCCTTTAGCTTTACCCCTCTGTATCCACATAGTGGCTAAAGGATGCCCCTTTTTAAAAGTTTAAATATAGCATATATTGGGAAATAAGGAATATAATGTATGATAAAACAGTTAAAATAGTTCACATTTTAACTTGGTCCTTTCTCATGTTCTAGGAAGTGTATGGAATGATATTAGATCTAGACAAACACTCAGATCACCTGAGAGCCAAAGGTCTATTGCCTCAAAAAAATAAACAGTAAGTTTCTCTCTTGAGTTAAGATATATATTTTGTATTAAAACTTGCAGTTTTTCTAAAGCTTAAAAATTATATATTACTTAAAAGTTTATCATCATTTGGGTACAAAATGTTAGGTAATTTTTATGTGGAAAGATATTGCAGTTATGATTTGATTCTGACTGTTAGTACTTAGATCTTTGATTCATTTATATTTCATAGTTAAGACTGGGGTTCGTAATACTTTGTTTTAATCTATCCTTTCTTCTATGAACATAATGTATACTTTTAAGTCCTGTGCTTTTTTCTTTCTTTGAGTATATCTTTTAATGTAGAGATTGTAACCTTAATTTTTCTTAATTTTTAAGAACTTTTTTGTTTATTTATGTTTCAAGTTTGATCCTAAAGTAATTTCTAATTATAAAAGAAGCAGAAATGAATTCTGTAAGAATTTAGGATAGCCTTTAATAGCAAATATGTTACTTAATTCCTTATTTGCTTCTTGATACAGTAAGATAACTAAAGGTATAAAGATCTCATTCTTAAAGTACATTGACAAAACAGTAACACCTTAAACTAAAATAAGTTGCCCGATATTTGAATGAAGTCATACTCTTTTATGGCATAAAAATGTTTTTCTGAATCATGCATGACTGTATGTGTGGTCCTTTGTGATATAACTCTAATTGCATGGTTAATTAAAATGAGAATATATGTGATATTTTAACAGAGACCTGATTGGCAGCAGATGGCTGATTAAGGAGGAACTAGAAGAAATGTTAGTGGAAAAACTGTCAGATCAAGATGTGAGTAATTAATCTTCTTAATTTAAGGGGACCTGTGTCATAAGAAAGCAGACACATGCGGTATTTAGGAACCCAATAGAAATATTCCTCAGAGGCAGGTGCTCCTAAGAGCCCCTCTTTTTAAAAAATTTACAGTTAGTTTCTGCCTTGGTAAGACCTTATCTGTGGTTAGAAAAATGGCATGGGTGTTCTCCAGATACTCCCTTCATTAGTACCCCTAACATCATCTAATACTTCAAGTGCAGCAGATGTGATTATTCACATATAAGTCTGTTACATTAACTAGTTTGTGTTGGCTAGCAGTAAGTAATAAGGTACTATTATATACAATAGATATGTTAAAAAGACATGGGGGGGGAAACTTTGTGCTATCTATGGTCTATACTACTGTATTTTTTATTATTTCTATCTTTTATTACATGCTGTTAAATCTTTCCATGGCTCTCTCTCTCTCTCTATATATATATATATAGCTGTAGGAAACCTTATACCATAAATACTCTATAGTTAGTAGTTTATGTTTCTTCCACACTCAAATCTGTCAGAAGGAATTCTATAATTCGTAAACTGAGAGAGGACTAGACATCAGATTTACTTATCTAGCTTCTATGGCTTCATATAAAACAAATGATATTATGAAAAAATACAATTAACACTTCACCTTCCCAAAATATAATATGTGTGTTATTATATTTTCACTTTAGGTTGAATTATTGTTATCCTTATTGATAAATTGAGTAGAGAGGTTGTGGCTTGCTTAATGTCAGGAATTTGGTTAGTGTTAAAGCTGGACCCTGTTTTCCTTAGCCAAAATTACAATTCAGTTCTGGTACTCCTGGAACTTACTTAAAAAAAAAAATCTGCATTTCCTAATTCTTTAGGAGGATCATTTCATTGTTAGCTGCATTTTCTTGCTGCCTTGCATTTTATGAGCATATATTTTCAAATTTTTAGGCATTCTAAGGCATACCTTAAAATTTACCAATGTGACTTCTGTACCTTCTAGTGTATGCGAGGGGACAAACTAAAATGTGGGGGGCCCAGCAACTATTCCATACCTTAGTTTCACCAGTAGGGCTAAGTAATCTCTGCAGATGCCAGATATAGACAAAAAAAGAAAGAAAAGGGAAAGAAATAAATGATAGGAATTGAGAGCGTCGAAGAGAAAATAGAGCTAAATCCAACTATAAAAGGGATGACATGTTGATTATCATAACACTCTTAGTTGTCTATCTTTGACATTATCGGCATTATTTCGTACATCACTAGGAATTGTTCAGAATTGTAACACAACAGAATATTAGTTCTTGTGGAAATGCTTTTGGTAATTTTTCTATGTAAATTAATGAAATTTTTAAGTTTGAAAAAATTTGGTAAGAATTTTTTGAATTATACAGGGCAGAGTTACCCATATTTTAGGGAGTTCATGTAACATTTGTTTGGTTTTGCATTAACACTTTAGAGGTAAGTTGTTTTGGCTTCCATTTGTAAAGAGTTAATATCAAGTTGTTTACTTTCTAATCACATGTTCAAGAACTATTAAAAAAAACTCACAGAGTAGCAGGGATAATTTATTTCAAGAGGTTGCCCTTTAAGTCAAGTATCTCTTGAATTTTTAAATAGCTTGATTGTTCAGTTTTAAAGGAAATCATAAACATTAAAGGAACACAGCTTGAACAGGCAAAGATATATTTACCAAGTGTATTATAAAATATAATTTAACAGGTACATTTTCATGAAATCAAACTGTTTCCATTTCAATGTACATAACTTATTGGAAAAGATTTGCAAAGCTTTTCTTGATTCAATTCTAATAAAAGAATTAGAATCACATTTAAGATCACCCATATGTTTTCTTTGAAAATTAATAGAAACATCATTCTAACATTATAGTGCTGTATTTACAAAGAGGTTGTTTTTTTCTTTGAGTGGAACACTTCATTATTAAGAAAAGGGTTCGATATTTTCAGATCCCTAGAATAAGATGCATCTGTGTGTCGCTTTAAAAGCAGCATGCGGATGCAAAAGTGTCATCCTGTCACAATTCATCAAGAAAAGCAACATAGGAAAGATCAAGGATATAAAAATAGAAAATTTTAGCAAATGCAATTACACTTGCATCTTCTAATGAATTTTTATTGTCTACAGCATATGCGGTTCATTCAACAGCTCGAAAGATTGTTGACACTGCCATGTGGTAGCACTGAAGAAGAATACATACACAAGTTTCGTCGAACTATACCTGTGCAGTCTAAAAAAAAACTGATTGAGCCTCTACAATATGACGAACGAGGAATGGCCCACAGCAGCGGGGAAGGTAGTGACTCTCAGTTATAAGAACATAACCTCAGATAGAAAAATAACTTTTTCACTTATCTTGCGTTCCTGATGTTCATTTAACATTTCCCTAATTCCTAAGATTGTGCTGAAGATCTCGGAAAAAACTGTACCTAATAACGTCTCAAGGGAAATATGGACATGTACCTATAATATTATATGAATCTGTTAATGCTATACACATCTCTTTTTCAGCTGACAGAGCAAATAAAATATTTAAAATGAATCTATCTTCTGTAAAATGACTATGCATAGTGAATCCACATGCCCACTGTGGTGAAATTTATTTACTATGCATTTACAGTAAAATTATTATCTTTAATATTATCCTAGATGTTTTTTCTTTTTTATGTATGCGGAGCCATTTGACACAGAGTAACTTATCAGAGTTCATTAAGTAGATAGTAGAAACTACAGCACTTTTTTGAGTCTTCTTTTAAACTTCATGTTTTCAACTTTTACTTGTGATTTTTTTTTCCATTTCTACAGATGTGTCTCTGAAAGACATTTTTTACTCAGTACAGTTTTGCTTTAATAATTTTAATTTTATAAACACACATCTCTTAATTTTTTTGTTAACTGTGAAATACATCTGAAAAAAGATGTACAGAAAACAGGAGGCTGTCCTGGGTTGATGATGGTATAGTAAACTTTTTTTTCCCAAATAATGATTTCAGGGATGAAAAATAAAAATGTAGCTCTTCAGATAATTTAGAAAACTTTCAAGGTAATCTGCCCTCTTCTAGTTGAATTTAATGCAAGGATTATTCAGCATTATATATTACTTTTAAAAATACTTCTTTGTACTTTTAAAAAGTTCAAAGTGAACTTAAGACTCCACTAATAAGAGCTTTCTGTCTTTAAGGCAAAAGAAAAACTGCACAAGCGAAAGTAATAGTTTATGAACATGGAAGTGGAAGAATAAAAGTGAATGGAATAGATTATTTGCTTTACTTTCCAGTAACACAGGACAGGTAAGTTTTAGTTTTGGCATGCTTTTTAATATGAAGCTCCTTTGATCACTTTCAGAGTAAGTTCTCATCTTGTACTCCTGAGTCATTGGGGTTTTTTGGTTTGTTTCTTTGTTTTTTAGTTTTAAAGAAAGATGAATTCATTAAGCTGAAGAGAGCAATTTTCATTAAAATTTTTATACAATTAACTACTAAAATTCTTTTTTTTGGTGAGGCAATTGGGCAGCCACTTAGCTGCCCCTACTAAAAAGCTTCATAAGGTATTATTAGAATTTAGGTATTCTTAGAAGCTGCCAATTTCATCTTCTTATGATGAACCAATGTCCACAAAAAAATATACTTCTGGGGTCAGCTAAGTGCAATGAATAGAGCACCAGCCCTGAAGTCAGGGGACCTGAGTTCAATTCCGGCCTCTGACCAAACACTTGACATTTACTAGCTGTGTGACCCTGGGCAAGTCACTTAACCCCAATTGCCTAAAAATAAAAATAAAATAAATATATATAAAATAAATAATTAATTAAATAAAATATATTTTGCTTCTCTTAGTTCCAGAGAAACTTTGGCTATTTTAACTTGGCAGTAGTGATTTCTTGCCATTTATTTCATTGGGTGTTTTTCTTTGATTTCCCCAAATGTTAGAAAATATAGGAGCTTTTCTTATAAAATGTGGAAAATCGATTATGTGTTGAGGTGGCAAAGAAATTGTTCTTTAGTGGCCAGGGATGATAGCAAAATCCTATGCTGTAATTAATGTCATTTTTTTTTCTCGTGGCAATTACATTTTTTCAGTTGTATATAATCTGTAGGGGAAATAAATACAAATGATAAAAAATGATTTGCTTGCTTGAGACACATCATAGTTGAATAGAAAGAGCACTAGATTTGGAGTCAGGAAAAGCTGAATTTGGTTTCCTCCTCTGATTCCTGCTAGTTTTATGATGGATATTGACATGTTACTTAACCTCTTCAACCTGTTTCCTCATCAACAAAATGTGGTACCTACCTCACAAGGTTGGTACGTAAAGATTGAATGCTCATAATACAAACACTAGAGCACTATATAAATTTAATTCAAGAAGCATTTTATTAATGTCATTATTGCTCATTCTTTTTGAGCAAATCACTGTACATAAGGGCCTTTTCTTCAGCCACTTAATATTTTTTCATTAGCTGTCTTTCTAAACTCCTACTTTCATAAGACATCCAAGGGAAAGTGAGGTTATTCACTAGAATAGAAGTTCTGATTGATTGATCCCATATGTCCTAACGCTTTGTCTCCTCTGTTTTTTAAAGCATCTTGGGTTGTACAGTCAAATGAGAATGCCAGGCATCTGTTCCCAATGCGTACATAAGGGTATTGCCCTTTTAATCCTCTTTGAATTTCTCAGCAGGACTTAAGTTCAATAAAGATTTTATTATTTTGTTTCCTATATCAAAAAAGATGACATACCCTAAATTCCATTGAAAATAGATGTATGGGTGGAAATATGTTTTAGACAGAGTTCTCTTTCTTAGACAGAGTTCTTTTCTTATGCTGCTTCTTTACAGGTTAAATCTCAAGCAGCAGATTTGAAGTTTTGTCAGATCTGTTGCTTTCCTCTCAGCCACGACAGAGCTTTTATAAATTGTTGCCAAAGGCCACCTAAGGCTATTTTTTGATGGGTTCAGCAGTGACAGCCAAATTTCCATAGGATGTCGAGGCATCATACCATATATATAATAGTCTCCTGACCACCATCTAGCAACTGACTCACTTATGCAAACCAAATGTTCTTCAGTCTATCCTTTTGATTCAGTCAGTCAAATAAGCAGAAACTTATTTGAGCACTTACCATGTACATAAGATTGTGCTAATGTACCAGGTTTGGAATTTTTAAAAAGGCAATTTGAGACATAGTTGTCAGAGGGAAGAAGGTCTGAGGACCTGAGATTTCCATCCTGCCTGTGCCGCTTCATAGTTGTATGATCTAGAGTTCCCTTCATTTTGCTTATCTTCAGTTTTCTCATTTATAATAAGAGAATAATAATAAAGCACCTATCTCACAAGGTTTTTGTGGTGAACATACCTTGTAAAATATGACATAAATCTGAATTGCTGCTGCTATTATGACACTTTATCCAAAATAGGCAGATTCCAAATAATTATACTAGGCCTAAAGCTCATTTGCATATAACATAGGAGCCCCCAAAGTCTTCACATCTTATAGTCAACTCATGTCATATCTTGACCTTGGAGTCCTTGGTGCTCTGGGTTTGTTTTTTGTGGTGATGGCAGTTTTTTATATTTAATTTTTAAAAATTCTGAACTTAAATGCACACAAAATATACTTATTTCCATATACACAGCAGAACACAAAAGAGATTGTACATGAAATCATTAATCTTCATTTTATGATACTTTTTTAAAAAAGTAATAAATTGAACTAATTACTTTAAAAACTATCCTTATCTGTGCCTCCTTCTGAACTTTCCCTTCTCTTCTGTGCATTTTAAAAAATACTCCAGTGGCTTGCTTTTTTGTCAGTTTAGGTGCCAGTATCCTTTCTCTCTCCCTCTCCTTCCCTCCTTCCCTTTTTCTCCTTTTCTCCCCCTAATAATGAGAATTGACGATCTTTGTTTGGCAGTAAATTAGCAACTCATAGTTTATAACCATGTTTTCACTTTTTATCAATTATCATTGAAGTGAGGTATTCTTAATCATATTACAATCATTTTATATTTTACAAGTTTGTATAAATTACATAGGTATTTAGTTCCTAAAACTCGGCCTTCTTTCAAATATTTTTTTTCACTGAAGGAGAGTTAAGAACAGTTAAGAACAAGGCAGAAGTTATTACTTAGGTTAGTACATCTTTTGAAATAAAACTATAAATAACACCCAAATTAATTTCCTGTAAATTCCTGTAAGCAGAGAGTCACATATCTAGAGTTTAAAGAGATCTTAAAGGGCCTAATGTTCAATCTGCTCATTTTACAGATTTGGACACTAAGGACCTGAGAGGTCCCAAAGCCACACAGTCATTGGCAAAGCTGTTGTTTGGTCTCAGGCCTCTCAATTCTAAAACCAGCATTTAAAAATGTTCTGGAAATCTCATTGGATTTGGATTCAGTCAAGAAATGAGTTCATATACTGCCTCTTTGAACCTTCTTTATCTATAAAATGAGAATAATAATACTTGTGGTACCTATCTCATTAGGATGTTGTAAGAATCAACTGGGGTAGTGTATATAAAGTGCTGTTAGAGCCAGCATGGCCTTATATATAGTGAACCAGCCCCAACATCAGTAGGCTCTGGGTTCAAGTCATCTCTTTTACATCTTGGCTATGTGACCTTGGGTAAGTCATTTAGCGCCTCTGAACTCTGGACAACTCTGTAAGATGAACTTCCTAACCTGGAAGTTCCCTGTTCCTATGTAAAGTGCTATATAAATGTGAACTATTAATATAGATAATAATAGTTTGTCCCAGTTCAAGCTCATTAACCTAAATTTCTTTAGCTAGAAAATGCAAATCAAAGTGAGATAGAAAAGGCTAGTGAATGTCTGAAACAGTAATGTGGTCTGGGAACCCCCAGGCATTCCCTAAATCTTTACAGGGGGTCTATGCAATGAAAGCTATTTTAATAATAATAAGACATTTTAATTTCTAATATGGTAAATATCAATAAATATGAGGTATATAAACAAAAGCTCAATTTTTAAGAATGTAAAGGGGTCCTGTGACCAAAAAGTTTGAGAACTGCTGATCTAAACCATCCAGAATAAATGGTCTTTTATCTTCCTGAAGAACTCCAAGAACAGAAATTCCACAACTTCCCTTCTATTCCAATGTTTTAATATTCTGGTGGTAAGAAATTTCTTTATGTGTATTTATGTGTTTCTGCAGGCAATGGTAAGTGATTAAGTGTCATTCACTGTCTAACTGCACTGTTTTTATAGCCTGCCACAGTGTTTGGCTCTTCCATTTGTCTAAAAATTCATCCTAAAGCTTTTATTGAGGAGAGAAAGAACAACCTTATTTCTTATTGAGACATATCTACTTTGGTCTTTTTGCCATAGTTACCTCCAGAATTCTGCCACAATGCCCAGGGCCCAATGTTTCTGGAAATTGTTCTTCAGTGTGTCTTTTGAAGTTTTACTTCTCTCTACTCTCTTTGTGATTATTCCACCAAAATTCTATATATAGCATTTGCTTGTATATCCTTCTGTCATCTATCTCCTAACTATAGTTGTCCAGTAATAAGCATTACTTCAGTTCTAGAAAGCAAAACTGACAGAGAGAGGAACCTAGCTAGCCTGAAGCAATTAGAAATGATATTGCTCCTTGTAAATAAAAATATTGAGTGGATTTTGAAGCAAAGTAAAAAAAAGTTAAAAGTGTCATGTTTGTTATGAGCTCATAAGTTTTACGAGTGTGGGGACATGTCTAGTCTAAGTTTCTACCTCTTCTTGACCCAAGCACAGTGCCTTATTCATAGTAGAGGCTTAATGAATGTTTATTAAATTGAATTGAACTATTTTCTTTTTTAATCTCATTTAGACAAATATTAATTGAAATGGCTTACCATAAGGTTGTGCATTGAGTCACTCAGTACAAGAGATAATGTTACTAAAATGGCTACAGTTGCTTCATTTTACAAAGCTTATTAAAGTTGTTAGTTCAGACTAAAGGTAAGTAATATGAGATCTGATATATAAGAAAGTTGAGTGTCATCATTAGTAATTGAACAAACTAATTATATCAAGCTCATGCTTATAGAAACCAAAGATGATGGTTTTATACAGTTAACTCAAAGCATTTTATGATCAAAGCATAAATATAAAATTTTATTAACCTAATTAGTTGTTTCAAAAAATAAGTTTTTATAGATTCTCTTAATCTTCACAAAATTCTTATGGGATAAGAAAGAAGCAAGATATTATTTACATTTATAAGCACAGAAAAGCCAGGTAATTTGCCAGTACTTAGAAGAACCAGGAATAGAGCCTCAGTTGCATGCTGTTTTTCTGTATGCCATACCATATTTCTTCCTGTCATGGTAGCAGTTCTACATCTCACTTTAATGTGTTAAATAACAGGCATAAAAAAAAAGATGAAGTATTGATGTGCATTTATTTTGTGCATACCGAACTAACCTGTAGTTATTTTAAACTATATTTACATCTGTATGTATATCGGCAGAGAACAACTGATGTTCCCATTCCAGTTCCTCGACCGACTTGGAAAGCATGACATGGACTGCACAGTCTCAGGTGGAGGGAGATCTGCCCAAGCAGGAGCAGTTCGTTTAGCTACTGCAAATGCATTATGTAGTTTTGTCTCTGAAAATGAAGTAGAATGGATGAGACAAGGTATGAACTTAAGAAGGCATATTTTCACAGTAATATCAGTTTCCCTAACTTTTTAATAATTGTATGAGATTAATAAGAAAATAATATTTTTTAAATATTTGATTTTATGGCAGCAACTTTCACACTTCAAAGTTACAACAATAATTTTTGGTCTTGATTTCTGCCAAAGTAGTAAATTTGCATTAGTAGGAAACTGTCAGTTTAATGTTGTTAAAATGTTCCTTTGCCTGAAGGTTTTGGAAATATATTTTGCTCTTGAGATATGCCCATTTGCCTTGTGTATCAAGCAGGTATCTCAGCTGTATTTGTGAGACTATATTTGGCTGTTTCCCATATTATTGTGATAAAAGTTTCTGTTGACTAGTTACAATATCTTCATTATTCTTTTAAAAATTAACAAACATTTTCATTTCACCGTTATGATGATAGCTGCAATTTAATTTTCTTCCCCTGCTTTTACATATTTTTTGAACATTGATTACCAGGGCTATAGATCTAGGAATCCTTGTACATTTAGGGAAAAAAAAAACACAGTATTGGACAACCTTGTTTATTGGGACCTTTGGAGTTTATGGTAAACTTATTTGGGCCTAAGGCAAGGTAATCTTTATGCTGTTTATGAAAATGATTTATCAAACAAGTGATATTGTATTGGAAGAACTACTCTGTTTTATCTATTTAATTTTATTATAAGTATCTTAGAATATCCACTTGAATATAATCAATTAATTTATCAGCCATATACATTCATTAAAATGATAGAGTATCAGTTCTTGAATACTTTTTGTTAGTCAGTTGACCTTGTTACTTATTAATATATGTAACAGCACTTAGCACAGGACTTGACACATAGTAGGCACTATATAATGCTTATTCCTTTCCTCTTACCAACTTCTTTTTTTTCTATTTTTTGGATCAGATCTATGATTTCATTTGGGAACCCACTATGAGGAAATTCGTTTTGTCAATTAGATCAGCATGGTATTGTTTTAGAGTTGCCTGAAACACTGGGAAATTAAGTCAAGTTATTAATGAGAGAGTGTGGATGGTGGAGAGTGCTATCTGCTAGGAAAGAGTTGAAGGAATTTTGTGCAAGGATTTGCCTTTTCAAGGAGAAAGGCCACCTCTTCATGTGAGACGGGAGTGGAGGAAGAGATAGTGGTGGAAAGAGTATGATTGAAATGAGATGAGGAGGGGATAAAAGGGAGCTCTTGGTGAATTTTTTCGTGATTTTTTTTTTTCAGTGAAATATGAGGCAAAGTTCTCAGCATGGTAAAGGGGGCCTTGGGAGATTTGAGGAGAGATGAAAAGGTTTGGAGAACTCCCTAGAGTGAATGGTATAATGAATCAATTAGGGGGATATAAAAGGATTGCCTGGCCATCTTTCTGCCTATTCCACCAGCAGTTAGGGGCCAGTTGAGATTGTGTGTCATTAATTTGTAGTAGATCAGTCAGCTCGGTTTCATGATTTTCTAAAGCTTTGTTCAGGAGCACATGAGTAGAAGCAGTCCAAGGCTGAGGCTTGACATGGCAATATCAGTGATAGGATAAAGGGGCAAAGGATTAAAAAGAATTAAACAGGTTCACCAAAAGGTCAAGATAGGAAAGGAAAAATATAGCCAGTGGATGGTTAATGTCCTGGGAAAGAATTGAGGGGGCAGAAAAATTGGAGGTGACAGTAAAAACAAAGAACAAAAGGGTTAGGAGTTGCAAGGCAGGGGGAGAATTGGAATGACAACCAATTATAATCAGATAAAGGAATTTCAGAGTTCATGAACATAAATGTGGAACACTTGTGGATGTTGGCAAGGTCAAAGGTATGATCATCTGAACTGGCTTACTTTCTGAATTGGGACTTGGTATCATGGGCAAGTTGCACCTTTAAATAGCAGGGCTTTATTTTATTGTGATTTGAATTATCTGGGGACCGGATGATATGTACAAAGACCTTAGGAGTAGCTCTGGCTAGTGACTTGTGCAGGGGTGGGCAGTGTTATTCAGAGACAGCCCTCATTGCCTGGTCCAAGCCTAAGAAGCCCCTGGGCCTCAGTTCTGGATCAGAGTAATGCTGCTTGTAGGATCCAGGTGTCTCTCACTGGTCCTTCGTCCCTGAGCTGGCAAGTTTCAATGAGTTAGGCTCCTGGGTCAGGCTGTGCTGGTTCAATGCCTTCTCTAGTGACTGCAGGCTTCTGGCTACATCTTTGTGTGGACCTGGGCTGCATTCACTGTAGTTACTCCCTGGATTTCTTGCTCATTACTCAGTCTGATGTTCTTTTTTCTTTCTTGCTGGATTAACTGTGAGACAGAGCTGGGCTGTTCTATTCCTGCCACTTCGCCATCTTAAGGAGAGTCTGAATTAGAATTTTTGATGAGAGGTAGCAGGTTAAACTAAATAGAGAGTTCGCTTTGGAGTTAGGAAGGTCTGGTTCAAATCTTGCCTCTGACATAATTGTGACCCAGAGTAAAAGTTACACCTACAACCATTCAATGATTGTCTTGCCCACCTTCCCCTTGCCCCTATTCCATGATTGTACATGTATAACTAATATCAAATTGCTTACTGTCTCAAAAGAGGGGGGAAGTAAAGGAGGAAGGAATGGAGAAAATTTGGAACTCAAAACATTTTTTAAATGAATGTTAAAAATTGTCATTATATAGAATTAGGGAAAAAATATTATTTTTTGAAAAAACATTGCACATATTCCACACCTGTCATCTTAAATCAGTCACACTGAGATTTATATATCTTTATTAATCTGTAGTTATAGTTTTTGAATAACAGCTCACAAATGCAGTTTTATTATGTGTTGGGGGGGTGTTTATTGCTTAGACTTTTGGGTGCCCCAGGTGACTCTCTAAAACCAGGAGTTTCAGAACGGTTGCAAATGTATTGGTGGAAGGAGTTTCCTCAATGGAAATTTCCTGTACCAGCTGAAATCCCAGGTGCATCTGGTTCCCCACTCCCCACAAAAAGAATAATTGATCTGAATTTGTCTCCCTTCATTATCTTTCTCCCCAATACTTACACACTGCATTTCATTCACCTTCTTCCCTATTTAGGAAACTTGTAAATCCCATGATTCATTAATTTTCATCTTGTGTTACAGCTGGTCTGCTGACTCCTGATCCTCGTGTCAAAGAACGGAAGAAACCAGGCCAAGAGGGAGCTCGAAGGAAATTCACCTGGAAGAAACGCTAAGTCTTATTCAGAGAAAAGGATTGACTCTGCTGGGCAGCACTTTTCTTTTTTGATCTGTGTAGTTTATTTTCAAACTATATGATGTCAATATATACAACTATGTATGTCAATTATACACAAACACACATATTACTATCCAGCCTGTCTTTCTTTATTTTTAAAATCCTCTTGGAAAATTATTTTAGAAACATTTCATAGAATATTAGAACTGAAGGGAATTTAGAAAATATCCAATCCAACTCCCTCATTTTGTAAATGAGGAAATTGAAACCATAAAAAAAATTTTTTTTCATTACTTGATCCCTTCTCCCTGTCTCCCCCCTCAGACAAAAAAAAAAATTCATTACCTGCTGGAAAACTTGAGTAGTGAGCATATCCCCTTTACAAAGCTGCTCCTCAGATGCCATATCATCAGGGCCATATCTGAATCTTTTTCAGCTTTATAAAGTCTTCCCAAAGAACTTACATCCTGGTGGCGTAGGCTTTGATAATTCCACATAAGTAGGACTTTTGGGGAAGCCTCTAACTATAATGTTTGGAAAACTTTTAACTTTAATAGAGTGAATGAATAGAAAGCATTTATTAAACACTTACTATGTGCCAAGCACTGTGCTTTAAGCATTGGAGAAACAAATATAAAAATGAAATCATCCCTGTCCTCAAGGAGCTTATATTCTAATGAAAGAGGAGAGTAGTGGCCAGGGAAGGGAATTGTAGTCTGAGAAATCAGAAATCATGGAAAGATGGTGAGTGGAACAATAAAGCAGTGCATTAACATGCTCTTTCAGAAACTGTGATAGTAGTGATTTGATTACAGTTCTCAGGGAAAGACAGAAGGGAGGGAATAGAAAGGTGTGGGAAATGGCTAAAGATGAGAATTCACGGTCCCAGGGAGTACAGAGAGGTTGCATGGCCTTTGGTGTGAAATAGGAACAGCAGGAAAGGCCTAGGTGAAGATAAGGATGTGTGGTCCCTGGAAGCGCAGAGCGGAGTAGCTTAGGAAGAGTGCTGGAGTCAGGACCTGCTTTCAGATTCTGGCTTTTCCACTTACTACTTGTATAACCTTGAATAAGTTCCTTAATTTCTCTGAGTCTCAGTTTCCTCATTTGTAAAACAAAGGTATTGAACTAGGTGACTTGGGATTCCTTCTAGCTCTTAGCCTACAGTTTTAAAAATAAAATTCCATTACACTGAAAAGATACTCATTATAATAAAAAAATTTTCCTATAAGTAGTCCAAAAGCATAGTTCTGTCCATGTCATGTCCTTACAGTACATTCCAAGGGCTCACTTTTACCAATGGAATCAAATACTAGCTCCTGTTTGTCATTTAAAGCTCATCACGACTTGACCCAAACCTAACTTTCCAGTCTTATTACATATTACTCCCCTTCATTCACACACTGTGGTCCAACCAAACTGGCCACCTTTCTTATACCTAGCACTCCATATCCCTTCTCCCCGCCTTTGTATTAGCCGACCCCCATGCCTGGAATTAACTTCTACCTCACTTCTGCTTAGAACCCCCAGCTAACTTCAAGGTTTATGTTACTAAGTCTTTCTGAATTCTACTTTGTTTCCTCCCCACTCCAACTATGTCTTCCTCCCAAAATTTTTTATTTACATATACACATACACATGCATGTATATGTATCATGTATGTATATACATGATATGTACATGTCATCTCCCCTGACTAAATTAGAAGCTTCTTCATATTTCCAACACCTCACTTAGGTGAGCTTCATTATTAGGCTTAATAAATGCTGTTGATTGAATGAATTAAAACACTTTTTGACAGGGAACTGTGCTGCTTACTGTGAGGACTTCAAAGGTAACTAACTAAGATACATGGTTCCTGTACTAAAGGACTTTACAGTCTATTGGATATTGGAAAAATATGAAATCTTCAGGTGGGTGTTTACATTTAATATTACTCTCGAAATATGCACAGACAGGCTTCTCTCTATTCAGAAACTTCCATCCATTTTTTTATGCAGATTACATATGACAAAGCCATTAGGTGGCACTCTCTGAGTAGCTTACACATCTTTACAAAGTTTTAGTATACTAACTGCTATACAAACATTGAGTATATGCAACCACAATGAGGAAAAAACGATGACCAAGCTCCCTTTTGAGGTGACACAAAATATATGCCAGAGAAATTGTGGGTTTTAATGTGAAGAAGTTAAAAAAAAAAAAAAACAAACCTGGAGATTATGAAGCAAAGGCAGTGAAGCCTCAGAAAAGCCAAGTGAGTTATGTGCAAACCTACAAGTGAAGTAAAATCTTTTTGTGAAAACAATCCATCTCTATAGCAAATATATTCCTTTTTTGTTTGTTTTCCTTGAACTCTATTATACTCTTGAAAAGATTGAATCCTCTCCAGAGAAGGTTTCACAGTGTGAACTACATCAACCTATGTCAAATAGGAAAAATGTATAGAGATCTTCCCATAGTTTCATCTAATTTTCATTGAAACTTGTTTCCCTAAGTGTGCTGTCATTACTTCATGAGGCTAACTATTCCTTAAAACTTTTCTCCAGTACCAACCTGGATTTCATTTTTTGTAACTGCAAAATATCCTTTGGGATGAGAAGGTATGTTTTGCCATAGGTAGGTAGTGTTAGGGGATTTCCTGTGTGAAGGTAGTATTAATATTCCAAACAAATTTTGCCTTAATAAAACTAAATTACTAAGCATTGAAGACTCATGCAAGTATAAATTTTAATACTCTTTCTGCCACCCAGTCATTGGGTGATCTTGGGTAAGACACCCTCCTGTTTCAGTTCCTTATCTAAGAAATTTTGATAATAAATTCTCATTGCCTACTTCTTAGAGATATACAGTAGAGTGGACTATCAAGGCTTAATGAATGACTACTGTATACCCATAGCTGTCCTAGGTACTGTGAAGGCCACCTTTCATCGAACCTTATAATTTAGTTGGAGAGACAAGATTAAGATAGAGTAATAGCATGTTTCTGCAGTAATTTCCTCAACCAAAATATTATGAAGTACTTGATGAAAGAATTTTTATTCCTCACCACATAATTAGAAAGTAAATCCTGAATCATACACTACAGAAAAAAAATTCGTAGAAATTCAGAAAATGGAGGGGTTAATTTGTGCTGAAGTAATCGAGCCTTCATGGAGGAAGTAGAACTTTGGATAGGCCAGTGATATTAATGTTGATACTTAGTTTCTCTTCTATAACCTCACCCCCCCCTCCAATTTTTAGACTTTGTTTTCTACTTACACAAAGTTAGTATTATTGCAATGCTAAGTTGAGATTATACTAGTTTGATTGAACTGGATTATATTTAATACTCCCCTTTCTGTGGTGTGCTATAGAAATTTGTTTGCAAAGCCTGTATTTCCTTCACATGCTTTTATACACACAACAAAGATACTCTCAATATAATGTAGTTCATTCTCTTAAAAATTTTTATAAAGGTAAGAAAGTAGATATGTTATTTTCTAGTTAGAAGTTATTTCAATAATCTTTTTGAAATTTTTTAAGGGGACATTAACCCTGGGAGGAGAAGTCAAGCAAATTCTTAGTTCACCTTTTTCATCATTTTATATTACCACAGCCCCATCATCTTTTTTTTTTTTAAGTGAGGCAATCGGGGTTAAGTGACTTGCCCAAGGTCACACAGCTAGTACATGTCAAGTGTTTAGTCTGAGGCCAGATTTGAACTCAGGTCCTCCTGACTTCAGGGCCGGTGCTGTATCCACTGCGCCACCTAGCTGCCCCTACAACCCCATCATCTTGAATAATCATCCTACAACTTCTTTGATAATCCTTTTTGTACCCAAATATCTTAAAAGAAACCCAACAAAAATAATTTTTGTTGTCCTCATTCCATACTTTAGAACTCTTGACATTACTCTTACAAAATCATATACTTGTTTATATCAGTGTTCCATTATTTTGTGGATATCTTCTACAAGTCTCTTTTAAATCTGTGTACCTTCCCCCTTTTCCACTCAATGGATTGATTTCCATATGTATTTTCATAATTTCATTCTTTTGAGCTTCCCATCACTCTTGTATAGTTTTAGGCCATTGGCTCCTAGTTACCCTGCCCACTGGCAGAAAAAGAAGAGTCAGCTTTATTCCACATTATGTTGTCCAAAGGAAGAGCAAGAGTGAAGCCAAAAGGTCTCTGCTTTCCTGGCTGCTAGGTAAAGAGAACACATGTAAGAACCCATCAGGGAGTGAAAGAGAGTAAAAGCAGGATTTAAAAGCCTCTGCTTTCTTGCCTGCTGGGTAGACAAAGAAAAGAGAACCAAAGTGCCCGAAGCCAGCTACTCGGCTCCACAGGAAAGAGAGTGAAGGAGAGCATGAGAATTGACCAGCTCCAGAGGAGATACCTCAGAAGACCTGTATTTTTTTCAAAATAAATTTTATTTATGTATTTTGTTTTTGCATTGCCAAAATACCCTTCCCAGAGAGCCATCCCTATTAAAGACTTTAATAAAACAAAAAGAGGAAGAGAGAAAAAAATCAGTAAACCAACAGGAGTGAAAAAAACAAAGCTCACATTATATACAAAATTCCACACCTGTGGACCTGTTCTGTCCCACACCACTCACCTTTACATGTGCAGTTAAGAAAATCTTTATTTTTGAATAATTTTATTGATAGCTTTTGTTCTTACATCACCTAAATTTCCCCCTGAATTCCTTCCACTCCTCAGAAGCCATTCTGTATAACATTGAATATATTTAAAGAAAAAGAATTAAGGGGGAAAATCAGCAAAACTGATTAATCCATAGGAGAAAAAATCTGGAAATAGATGTCATATTCTATACCTGTGGACCTCTCATCCCTGCAAAGCAGTTGTGGAGGAAGATAGGGGAAGGGAACAGTGAGATAAGGTGAGAAGACACTTTAAAGCTGTGCCTATTTTCATTCTAGTTAGGTCAAATGCTAGAGCCCTCAATTCTGCTCAGGTCCTTGGGGTTTATTGGCAACACAGCATCAGTCTCTTTTTTTTTTTTTTTAATTTATTTATTTTTAGTTTTCAACATTTACTTCCATAAGATTTTGAGTTCCAGATTTTCTCCCCATCTCTCCCCTCCCCCCACCTCGACGACATGCAATTTGATATAGGTTCTACATATA